CTACTCTACTCTACTATACTATACTATACTCTACGACACTCTACGACACTATACTCTAATCTACGACATTGTACTCTACTCTACTCTGTTCTACACTACTCTACTCTAGGATCTGATGCAGTGGCTGCCGCAATACTCTACTCCACTTTACTTTACTCTACTCTACCCACTCTCCTGTACTCTACTACACTCTATTCTACTACACTTTATTCTACTACACTCTACTCTACTATAAGAAAGTGTACAACACTGTACTTTATTGTACTCGATGACACTCTACTCTACTCCACTCTACTCGAGTAATCTACTCTACTCTACTTTACTCTACTCTACTCTACTCTACTCTACTCTACTCTACTCTACCACACTCTACCACACTCTTATTCACTCTGCTTCACTCTACTTTACGCCTTTCTACCCACTGTACTTTAGTCTACTCTACTCTACTCTACAACACTTTACTCGACTCTAAGACACTCTACGACACTCTACTCTACTCTACTACTCTACGACACTCTACGACAATCTACTCTACTGCACTGTACAAAACTCTATTCTATTGTACTCTACTCTATTCTACCCTACTCTACTCTACTCTACTCTACTCTACTCTACTCTACTCTACTCTACTCTACCCTACTCTACTCTCTGACACTCTACTCTACTCTACTCTATTCTATGACACTCTACTCTACTCTACTCTTTTCTATGACACTCTACGATGCTCAACTCTACTATACTCTCCGACACTCTACTCTACTCTACTCTACTCTACTCTACTCTACTCTACTCTACTCTACTCTACTCTTCTCTATGACACTCTACGATGCTCGACTCTACTGTAGTCTACTCTGGTCTACGACAGTCTACTCCACGACACTCTACTCTACAACACTACTGTACTACAATCTACTCTATCAGACTCTACTCTACGACACTTTCTCTACTCTACTCTACTCTACGATACGATACGATACGATACGATACTGTACTCTACTCTACGACAGTCTGCTCTACTATACTGTGTGACACTTCATGACACTCTAATCTACTCCACGACATTCGAGGACACTCTACCACACTCTTCTCTACTCTACGACACTGTACTCTACTCTACTCTATAACTCTCTATTCTACTCTATTGTAAGGCACTCTACTCTACTCTACGCTACTCTATGACTCTCTATTCTACTCTACTGTACGGCACTCTACTCTACTCTACGCTACTCTATGACTCTCTATTCTACTCTACTGTACGGCACTCTACTCTACTCTACGACACTTTAGTCTACTGTACTCTGCTCTACGCTACTGTACTCTACTGTGCTCTACGACACTCTACGAGACTCTACGACACTCGTTTCTACTCCATGACAGTTTACAACACTACGCCACTCTACAAAACTATTTTTTATGATACTCAACGAAACTCTACTCCACTGTACTCTACTCTACTACACTCTACTCTACTCTACTCTACTCTACTTTACTCTATTTTATTCTACTCGACTCCACTGTACTTTACTCTACTGTAATCTACTCTACTCTACACACTCTACCCTACTCTACACTAGGACACTCTACTCTACGACACTCTACGACACTTTACGACACTCTACTCTATGACACTCTACGACATGCTACGACACGCTACTCTACGACACTCTACGACACTATACTCTGATGTACGGCACTCTACTCTACTCTACCTTACTCTGCTCAACAACATTACTACACTCTACACTACTCTACAACACTCTTTTGTACTCTATGACACTCTACGACACTCTACAACACTCTACAAAATTGTACTCTTCAACACTCTACTCTACTCTACTCTACTCTACTCTACTCTACTCTACTCTACTCTACGCTACTCTACTCTACTCTACTCTACTCTACGACATTCTACTCTACTCTATGACACTATAGGACACTCTACATCAGTGTACTCACTCCACTCTACGACACTCTACTCCACTCAATGACACTCTACGACACTCTACGTTACTCTTCGACATTCTATAACACTATACTCTACTCTACGACACTCTACTCTACTCTACTTTATGACTATACTCTGCGATAGTCTACAATACTCCACTCCACTTTACTCTACGACAATTTTTTTTTCTCTACTCTACGATACTCTGCAACTACTCTACTCTACGACACTCTACTCTACAACACTGTACTGTACGACACTCAACGACACTCTACAACACTTTACAACACTTTACAACACTCTACGACACTCTACTCTATGACACTCTTTTGTATTTAATGACACTCTACGACAATCTATAACACTCTACAAAACTATACTCTACTATATGACACTCTACTCTACCATACGACACTCTACTCTACTATACGACACTCTGCGACAATATACTCCACTCTACTTTACTTTACTCTACCCACTCTCCTCTACTCTACTCCACTACACTCTTTTCTAGACTACACTCTACTCTGCTGTAAAAAGCAATACAACATTGTACTCTACGACACTCTACTCTACTATACTCGACAACACTCTACTCTGCTCTACTCTACGACACTCTACTTCACTCTACTCCACTCTACTTTACTCCACTCTACTCTACTCTACTCTACTCTAATCTACTCTACTCTACTCTACTCTACTCCACTACACTCTACTCTACTCTAAGATACAGTACAACACTCCACTCTACGACACTCTACGACCATTTACTCCACTCTTCTGTACAAAACTCCACTCTACTTACTCTATTGTACTCTACATTACGACACTCCACTCTACTTTACTCTATTCTACTCTACTCTACTCTACTCTACGCTACTCTACGCTACTGTACTGTACTGTACTGTACTGTACTGTACTCTACTCTACTATAATATACTCTACTTTACTCTCCACTCTACTCTACTTTACTCTACTCTACTCTACTCTACTCTACTCTACACTACGAGACTCTACGAGACTCTTTTGTACTCTAGTGTACTCTACAACACTCCACTCTACTCTACAACACTCTATTCTACGGTACGACACTCTAAAACACTCTACTCCACTCTACGATATTGTACTCTACTCTACTTTACTCTACTCTACGATATTCTACTCTACTCTACGATATCCTACTATACTCTACTCTACATTATGACACTTCACTCTACTCTACTATAGTCCACACTACTCTACTCTACTCTATTGTACTCTACTCTACTCTACTCTACTCTACTCTACTTTACGACAATTTACTCTAGGATACTTTACTTTACGACAATCTATCCACTTTGATACTTTACTATAATCTACTCGACGACACTCTACTCTACTCTATGACACTCTACGACACTCTACGACACTCTGGGGCAGTCTACAAAACTCTACTCTACTCTACAACAGTCTTCTTTGCTTTACTCTACTTTACTCTACTCTACGACACTCTATTCTAGTCTACTCTACGACACTTCACTATACTCTATGACACTCTACTCTATTCTACGGCACTCGACGACACTGTACACTACTTTTCGACACTCTACTCCAGTTTACTTTACTCTACTCTACTCTACTTTACTCTACTTTACGACACTCTATTCTACTCTACTCTACGTCAATTTACTATACTCCATGACAATCTAATCTATTCTACGACACTCTACGACACTGTACACTACTTTACAACATTCTATTGTACTTTACTTTACTCTACTCAACTCTACTCAACTCTACTTTACTTTACGACAATCTACTTTACTCCAGTGTACTCCAGTCTACTCCACCCTACAATATGACACTCTACTCAACTCTACTTTACGGCACTCTACTATACTCGACTCTAGTACAGTCTACTCTACGACACTCTACTACTCTACGACACTCTAGTCTACTACACTCTACTCTACTCTGCTTTACTATACTCCACTCTACTCTACTCTACTCTAAGACAATATGGTCTACGATACTCTACTGTAATCTACTCAAGGACACTCTATGACACTTTACTCAACTCTACGACACTCTACTCTACTCTTGTCTACTGTACTCTACGATCGCGGGCGCTAAGCTATTCGTCAATTAAACTCAGACTTCGTAGCCAATTTTAGGCTATTCGTTATTACCCTGCGATTCGTTTTTTTTTTTTTCAAGTCTGTCTCAGTTTATTCGAGTGGTCCGTGTCAGGTTGCCTCCAACATTTCTTATTTCTGCGGGCATGGCCCGCACCGTGGGCGCTTAGCTAGTTTGTCTTAAGGTTGCCATGTAGATGCTCCCCAGAGTGGAACGGGGCCAAAACTGGCAGGTTCATTTTAAGCCGAGGGTGTTGTAGAGGCCAAGGACCAGACCCGCGGTAATTGCTGGCAACGGCAGCCAATGGTTGTTCTGACAGGATAGGCCACCTACCCTACCCTTCCCCACGTTAGTACTCCCAGCGCACCCCTTGTCCCTATTATCCTACCTCAGTGTGACGAGGACTCAGGACCATCACCCTACCAGTATCGAGGGCAACTTGGACCAGGCAGCAGTGACAAGCACAGCATTTTCTGTGAGGTTGCCATGTACTCGACTCTGTTAATCTTGGTATTCTCTCTCTCTCTCTCTCTCTCTCTCTCTCTCTCTCTCTCTCTCTCTCTCTCTCTGATCAAGTTACCTTTTCGTGAGGATTCTTTTATCTTTACACACAATTTGGAATAAATATGAAGATGGAATACAGTGGTTATTCAATTCTCAAAGTACAACCTTACAGAATTACTCTCAAGTGTCTCTCTGGAGAGATCTTGAATATATGCTTAGATTATATAGTATTCTTTTTTTCGTCCCATAGAACCAAACTTGAAAATTCCCTTTTCATACGGCTCAGCTATATATATATTGATATTCTCTCTCTCTCTCTCTCTCTCTCTCTCTC